CTGATTTGTTCTCTTCTTGCATTTCCCTATTGCCTTTTGCCTGATCGTCGTTTTGCTGGAATTGCTGTGAGTCTTGCAACTGTCAGCAAACTCCATTTACTGAACTTTGTTTATGATACTGGACTTCGTTTTTGGATTATCCCTGGACTGGTTGTATTTAATACTACTTGCTTTAACCATGTATGATTTGGACTGTTTGTTGGACTTTGTTTACCCGTTTACAGGAAGTAAAACCTACATTTTACTATTCAGTGTATCTGTTTGCTGGTTGTGTGTTATTCCTCACCACTCTCACTACATTTCCCTGAGTGCACTCATTCTCCTAACAGGGAATACGTTAACACTAGTCATGGGCCCAGTCCATACCAGACTCAGACAATTGACAGTTAGTGTGAATACACAGTACCATATACAGACAGCTGTTTATTGTTTAATTGGACTAATTGTTTAATACTCGGACTAACACTGAGTGACCAGCAGCTAGTCCATATTCGTGGAGAAGAGTCTGCTGCTAGGTGTTGGGAGAATTTGAAGAGGATTTATGTTTGTGACAGTGTAGGTGCACATATACATCTTACATGTAAACTGCTTAGAGCATGTCTTCTGAAAGGTAGAGATATGTTAGCTCAATTGAACTTCATGAAAAGAACTTTTCAAGAGCTACATGAAAAGGAACTGATTTTTTCAGAGCTGCATCAGGTTTACATCATTCTTTTCTCATTGGATGAAAGTTATGATGATTACGTATCTTCACTGGAAGTCCTGACCAGAAATGAACTGACATTGACTGACATAACTGGACGATTGTTAGAAGAGGCAAGAAGATGGCTGGATAGGGACCAAGTGAAAGAGAAACAACCACAAGAAGAGGATTTGTTTTCAACTGCCTATACTGTTAGAAAATGTTTTTCTTATGAGGCTAGGCACCTGTTCAGTGGGTGTGAGTGTTGTGTAATGGACAAAGCTGGACTCTCTTTGTTGTGGGAGGTTTAAATTGGGTTGTGTGCGATGGGTTTTTGCCTGAACTCTTTATGGCTGAGGTTGCAACCCCCATTTTTTGTACCACCATGAAGGATTTTTCCCTTTGCCATTTGTGTCAGACCCATGGATGGCACAGAATTGCCACTGGCTTTTTTGTCAATTGAGGGACTATCAGCTCTGAGTCTGCGGGTCTGGGGGTCATTGCATGACATTGCCTGGTGGGCCATGAATTTTTCGAGAAGGGTAAAGGGAGGTACTTTGTTTTGACCATTGGTCCCGAAGGCCTCAGACAACTGGATCCATTGTTCAATTAACATTTGAGGTAGTTTTTGAACGATTTTGCTTTGTATATCGAACTGGTTAAGACAAGCGAGTCCCGGCAAGTCGGGATCCCGTTGTGCCACTCTCAGCTGTATAAGTATGTTAGAGAAGTCCCTGAACTGGCTAGGCTCATCAAGACTGATTTTAGGAAAGCTGTTGAGGCAATCCAAGAGCTAGGATTCCACCTCTGTGGGAGTGCCGTACTCTTCATCGAGTCTCTTCCACGTTAACCGAAGTGCAGCATCTGGATCTGTTAAGTGTGATCCATAAATGTCTTTCACTGCTGCTGCAGACCGGAGTCCCAGCCAAGCTATCAAGTGTACGAGGACTTCATTGGGCTGCAGGCGTGCAGCCTGAATGTTGCGTATGAAAATACTCTTCCATAGAAGATATCTTTTGCCTGGCTCATCAGAAAATTTGTACACACTGTTAGGAAATCTAGCTTTCCTCTCCTTAAAGCCAACTCTCTCCAGAATGCTGGATCATCTGCTGAGGTGGCATTGGGGTTGTAGGTAAGGTGCACTGGCACAATGGTGTCTCCCTTTGGATTATCATAGACCTGGTCTGGGTTGTGTCTCAGTGATAGCTCATAGTCTTCTTCTCTGTACTTCCTGAGGAGGTTGTCCTGCCATGCCATATACAATGGTTTTGCTTCACAGTGCTGGGCAGGCCGACTGCGATTATTTTGTTATACCTCTGAGCTCGAATTGTGTCGAGGTTGTGGCAGGAACTCCACTGCCTTTGGGTTGAGCTTAGGAGTTGCCGTTTGATGTATGGCTCCTTGCTGAGAAATCTTCGCTGTTACCGGTGGGCTAATTTGCTTGCCCTGTAGGTCTTGAGATATTGGGGTAGGTTTTCTGTTTTTGGGAATAGAATCTCGAGTTTTAGGTCTTACAACATCAGTTTTGTGACTGGCGTTTAGAGTCTGTGGTTGAGATTCACCCCTTCGATCCTGTGGTCTTGGGCTGACTGCTGACTAACTGTGCCAGTTCCGCCTTCCATGCTGTAGCAAGTACTGCTCATCCACATAGGCCTTGACACATTTATCTGGGCTCTCACTTCCCAATTCTGAAAGGTTGAAGTTGAGAAAGGAGTCATCGGCTACTTTCCGTAATGCTGTGGCCCATGCGCTCTTTGTTGCTGTCTCCCTTTGTCGTACGAGCAACTCCAATTTGGCTTGAGCTTTGGCCATTTCTGCCTGTTGGCTGGCCTGAGCTTTGGCCATTTCTTCTACTTGAGCTGCTACTGCCTCCTTCTGTTGTGTTACCTCCTCTGTTGCCTGTAGATCTGTGTCTGCTACTGCAGATTCTATTTGAGCTTCTGCAGCTTGTTCGGCATAACTTGCTGCTTTAGATGTGTTGCTGTAATGGGAGGATGCTCTGGAAGGATGGGAAGAGCTAGCAACAGAGAATTGCTGTGAGATGCTGGAATGTGCTTGAGATCTAGCTGGCTTGGGATGGAGGGAGGAAGCTTTCTTAGAATAGTGGAAGGAGGCCACACGTGATCGAGGGGCTATGTCGGATGTGGCCTTCTCCTTCGAAATTTCTTCCATCTGTAGCATGCCATGGAGCGCTGCCTGGAGGGAGTCTTTGCCTCTCTGAACGTAGTCCTCATGTTCCTTGTTTAACTCATTGAAGCATTGTATGTGCTCTTGGAGCTTTGAATCACCCAGCTTCAACTGGATGGATTTGCGGTTACCTTCGCTGTCTCTCCACCATGCGAGAAGATGATCTATGTCGGTCTCCAATGAGCGTATGTTGTCGAAAGACAACTCACGTATGGGGGCATTGCAGATCTTCACCAGCTCTGACCATGAGTCTGCATAGTGTCAATACTGCCTGTGCCAATCCTCCCTCAAGCATGACTCCATGGGCTCGGTAAGCTTACTATGCTGTCTGAGGTCGTAGGCTTTCTGAGGTATCGTAGCCTCTTCAGAATTTTGGGCACTCGATTCTAGATTTGGGGAACCAAGGTCCGCGTTTACATCGAGGGTGGGTGGAGTGTTCAAGTCCTCTGGTACATCATAGACACCTGTCATGGCTGAAGTTGCTGCCATGCTTTAGATTGGCAAAGGGTGAATTTTGGAAAATTTAGCAGTTTTCCATGCAATTCCCTTTTTTCCACGAGGGTGTGCTGCAAGAGGGTAGCTGAATTTAGGAGACTCCATTGAAATTCACTGGTTGGCCACTGGAGGGTGCACTGCAACATCTGGAAGACGTTGGTGCAGTACACAGGTTGGCCCGCTGAGTATTTGACCCTTGGGTTACATTGCAAGGTGTTGCTGAATTTAGGAGACTCCATTGAAATTCACTGGTTGGCCACTAGAGGGAGAATTGCAAGGTCTGGAAGATGCTGGTGCAGTACACAGGTTGGCCCATTGAGTGTTTTGTACTTGGGTTACATTGCAAGGGGTTGCTGAATTTAGGAAATTTCTGTAAAATTCACTACTTGACCATGGATGGCGCTGCAATTTAGGAAATTCCTGTAAAATTCACTACTTGACCATGGATGGCGCTGCAAGCGGGTGGCTGAATTTAGGACTCTTATGCTGCATTGCAAGAGTTTGCTGAATTTAGGAATCTTCTTTGAAATTCATTACTTGACCACAATGTGGTGCTGCGAGCTGGTAGCTGAATTTAGGAAATTCCTGTAAAATTCATTACTTGACCACGAGGGGCGCTGTGAGCTGGTTGCTGAATTGCAGGCAGTTATGCTATGAAGAATAGTCATCAAAGGATGTTATGATTTATTCTAATGCTTGGGGCAAACTATGATCAGGTGATTTCCTTTTGTTGAGTAATGTAGGCTGGTATCTTTTGGCTTGAGATTGGCTCTAATTCCAGTAAAAGGAAAAACTTCTTCAGAAGTTTGCCAGCAAAGATAAAATGACAGGCTGTGTGTAGATTTCCTCTTGGGGGGCGGGGTTATGGAGATGGCTCATCCTAAAGAATTTATGACTGTTGCCTGGAGACCACATCATAAACTGGGTCGAGGTGGACCTCTTTATAGCTGTCTTTCCTCCAAGGCACAAGCAGTGAGGAATCAATAAGAAATAGGGGAAATGTTAGCAGATATAATTTTTTATAATAGAATATAATAGAATAGTTTGATGGTAAAGATTAGAGGATGAAATATAGTATTACCAAGTATGCTTATAACATAATTGGCATTGAAATGGAACATTGAAATATTGAATAACTACTTTAAGAAACCATGAATGTTAATACTAGGATTATATAAGTTTGATTAATATAACTATTATGATTATCATTATTGATGTTTGTATCAAAATGAATTATATACCCAGGGGCCACAGTGTTCATGGATTGATATTGATGTATATTTAAAAATAAAAATCTAATAAATCATTTAAAAAATCCTGCCATTCAGCCCCCATCTGAGAAAAGGTTTGCCCAATCATGGTATAAAGGAAGCATACTCACATAAATTTAAATGTGTAGGGTTCTTTTGGCAGTAATATGAAGGTAGTTTGTCATTGCCACTCCAGTTTTATAATTCATATTTGGGATTTCTTGGTGGTTTACATCCAAGAAGTAACCCGATCTGACTTTGCAATTCAAGATTGGCTTAATTAGTATAGGTGTTGCCATTTAGCTGGATATTTATCCTTATAACTTTGGGGGGGGGGGGAAACCCAACCACTAACAAAATTTAAAGTGTTTCCTCTTTTTCCTTAGGCCTGTGCCCATCGTTGGAAAAATGTCTACTATGAAACTGAGTACATCCTTCCTCATGGTTTTTGCAATATCATCCCTCCCAACCTTGGGTTGAATGGTAAAAAATTAATGCCTTGCTATGAAGGTAAGGAGGCATATTTATTTTTGCTTATCTGTGCTAGTACTTGTGATGGATTTCCTTGTTACATTCCTCCTATTAATTATAGTTGTGGCAGTAAATGCATTTAGAATGCTATCATTATCCTGTAAATTAAATTATGACTGAACTACTGTCCTGATATACCGTATATACTCGAGTATAAGCCGAGTTTTTCAGCCCATTTTTTGTGCTGAAAAACCCCCCCTCGGCTTATACTCGAGTCAGATTCCCCTCTGGAAAAAAAATGGTGTGGAGCTCCGGAGCTGGGCAGGCGCTTCCCTGCTTCCGTGTTTCCTTTGCAACTTTTAAGCATGGGGGTAATTGGAAGCAGAAAAGTTCTTGCATGAGGATATATTTTTTCTTTTTTTAACTGTTTTTAGGGGGGGGAAAGACCCACCGTCATGTGAGAATGCTCAGACACGAAATCTATCCGCCCGAAAATAAGTGTGTGTGTGTGTGTGTGGGGAATTTTAACAGAGGGAAGATGTAGGGAGAAGGCAAAAGCGACGGAAGATCCTTCAGGGGAAACTGAGGGAGAGACTCACCCTTGGTCCAGATGAGCCCCCTTCCCCGCCCCCAAGGAAGCAGAGGCAGCCAGCAAGGGCAGGCAAGCCTCACTTCACGGACTCCGTCCGTCCTCGCTCCCACCCAAAGCCACGAAGTCCCCCAATCGCGCAGCCCAGAATCGCCCTCCCCTCAGGGGGCAGCAACAATGCCCGGTTTTTCCCGAGACAAGAAGCTCCGCCGTGCAATGAAAGCGCCCTGGCTCTAGGCTCGCGGGCTCAGAAAACAACGTGAGCCGAGGTGGCTTCGGCTCCGCTCGGCTTCTCCAACATCCGGCGCCGCCCTGTTCTATGTGCCGGGCCCGGCAAGTCCGAGCAGCCAGTGCATGGAGCAGGGCAGCGCCGGAGATCGTTGGCTCCCTCTTTCGCAGCACGGGAGGCCTCCCCCGGCTGGCCAGCTGCTCTCCTCCTTCTCTGCCTGTTTGTTCTGTGTGGCCGAGGAGGAGGAGACCGGCTGGCTGGTTGGGGGAGGCTTTCTGCACCGAGGGAGGCGGCTGCTGGTCTCCGGCTTTGCTCCGCTTCTCCAATGGTCCAGCGCCGCCCTGTTCTTTACTTGGGCAGCCGGGTGCCCGCAGCGGCGCCCATGGCGGCAACAGGCAGTTCCGCCCGGGCTCCACTCAGGTGTCCAGCTGGGGCTGTCGGGAATTGCTGCTGCTAGTGCGGCTCCGGTCCCGCGTTGCCTTGGGAAGGGTGGGGCAAAGCCAGGAGCCGCTGAGCCTGAGCCTCCGGTGCCGCTGCTGCCATTGCAAAGCGCTGCCGCGGCTCTTCCTTTTTGCCTTTCCCTTCCCGAGGCGACGCGGGACTGGGGCCGCACCGGCGGTAGCGACTCCTGACTCAGGGGGCCTCTGAGGGGAGGGGAAGAGAGTGACTCCTGCCTCCCGCTGTCATCATCATCTTCTTCTTTTGGGTTAGTGAATCAATTAAACCTTTCATGATAGTGAGATCGTTTCCCAAATTAATTATTTTTATTTTTGAAATTTACCAGTAGCTGTTGCATTTCCCACCCTCGGCTTATACTCGAGTCAATAAGTTTTCCCAGTTTTTTGTGGTAAAATTAGGTGCCTCGGCTTATATTCGGGTCGACTTATACTCGAGTATATACTGTTGTGAATCAATAAAAGTGAATAACCTAAATGCAAATTAGGGGTTGAAAGCCTGCACACTTGATTGGTCCTTATACAACAACTCAGGATTGGGCCAGAATTAGACCCTGATTGGCCACGTTTGGAACACTTCTTATTGGTTAGTAGTTTGAACCTGTTGCAAATTTCATTGGTTAATAAGGTAGCAGCTAACCCTATAAAAGGGTTACTGCTGTCCATAGCTTTGCTCTGTTATGTTCTATTACTTTTATTAAAGAGTTGAAGTCACTGATCAGATGTCTGGTCTCCATTATTCTCCATACTTAACACTGGCGACGAGGATGGGATTCGGAGACCGAAGAACTGACTAACCTACAGAGCAACCAACAGAGCACGTGGTCGAACACGCACCATCAACGGCAACATGGCCAGCGGTGCCGTACCACCCGCTCCATTCAACCCAGAAACCGAAGACTGGGAGGCCTACATGGATCGGTTCCAGATGTTTCTGGAGACCAACAATTTGAAAGATGCAACAACCGGAAAAAAAAGAGCTATCTTTCTAACTCACTGTGGGCCGACCATGTTTAAAATGGCAAAGTCACTTGCCAAGCCAGCAGAGGTAAAAGAAATGGACTGGGACGTCCTCGAGCCGTTACTACGGGCTCACTACACGCCCACCGTACCAACCTTAGTAAGAAGACACGAATATTACCAGAGGGACCAACGGAAGGGCGAAAGCCTTGCCAATTACATCGCGGACCTCCGGAACCTAGGAGGCCTCTGCGGATTCGCAGACTTAGAAGAAGCCCTCCGGGACCGCCTGGTTCTGGGCCTAGAAGACGGCGCGATCCAGAGCAAAATTATGGCTAAGGGGGACATCAGCCTCACCGATGCCCTTAAAGAAGCCTCGGCAGCGGAGGCGACCAAGAAGTCGGCGGCCCAAATGCGCCGCACCAACGCACCGCTACGTAAACTCGCCACTGATACCTCGCCTCGCTCGGAGAGACACCCGGTATCAACTCACCACGAAGACCTAGAGTCCCCGTCCGACAGCGATGAGGAAGAGGTCAACCGACTTCGAACGGAGAGAGACCAGTCCACACAACACTCATTTCGACCGTGTGCCGGCTGTGGAGCCAATCACCCACGATCCGGCTGCAAATTCCTCGACGCACTCTGCCGCCATTGCGGGAGACGAGGTCACATCGCAAAGGTTTGCAGAAGCAAACAGAACTCCAAACCCCGACAGGCCGAATACCAGTCTTCCGGATTCTTCGGCACACACCGAGAAAAATTGAACCACTCCTACAAAAACAAGCCGTCCACCACTTCCACCAGGCGTGAAGAAACCAGGCAGGAAGAGACCCACCAAACAATCACCATAGGCCACGCTACATCCCTTGACGCCGGGAAAATCCGAGTAAAGGTCGCCATCGAAAACAAACCTTGCGTGATGGAGGTAGACTCGGGATCTTCCCTCTCGATGGTGTCGTGGAAAACGCTCCAACAGCTCATTCCAACGATTCACCGCCAAGACCTTAACCCTCAAAGGGTTATACTCAAAGACTATCAGGGCAACCGAATTCCCGTCGTCGGGTCCCGCAGATTCCAGGTCTCATTCAAGGACCGCACCGTCGCACTACCACTGACTGTCGTGGATCGAGACAGGCCTAGTCTTCTAGGCCTTCAATGGTTCAGGCCGCTCGGAATCACTGTAGCCGGAGTCCACAAGGCCGAAAGCGTTGATTGGGAGGAAGCACTCGTGCAAGAATTCCAAGACGTTTTCGTGAAGGGACTAGGCAAGTATAAGGGGACCCCAATCTCGTTTAACTTGAACCCTGAGATAGCACCCATCCGCCTTAAGCCGCGTCGGGTGCCGTTCGCCTTGAAGCCTAAAATCGATGAACAACTCGATAAGCTGATAGCGCAGGGCGTACTGGAACCCACCGACCACGCCCGTTGGGAAACCCCGATAGTGACGCCTATCAAGCCTGATGGGTCCCTAAGAATTTGCGGAGACTACCGGGCCACATTAAACCACGCACTGCAGCAAAGTGCTTATCCAGTACCGGTAGTGCAACATTTACTCCATTCCCTGGGCGGCGGGAAAGTTTTCGCCAAACTAGATCTAGCCCAGGCGTATCAACAATTGCCTGTAGACCCAACCACAGCCGAGGCGCAAACGATCGTAACACATAGGGGCGCATTTAAATGCAACCGGCTCCAATTCGGGGTAAGCGTCGCCCCTGGAATCTTCCAGAGTTTAATGGAAAGGTTGTTACAAGGGATAAAAGGCGTTGTCCCATATTTCGACGATGTACTCATCACCGCACCTAACAAAGACATTCTAGAAAAATGACTCAGAGAGGTTTTACGAAGATTCCAAAATGCAGGCCTCAGAGTAAAAAAAGATAAATGCCAGTTATGTACTGAAAAAGTAGAATTTTTGGGATATCTCCTGGACAGCCAAGGAATTCATCCCACCGAAGACAAATTACGAGCAATTAAAAAGGCACCCACTCCAAGGAACAAGGCAGACCTACAGGCGTTCCTTGGACTTATCAATTTCTATAATGTTTTTCTACCCCACAAAGCAACAGTAGCTGAACCATTGCATAGACTATTAGACAAAAAAGCAACGTGGGTTTGGGGGCAACGGGAACAACATGCTTTCCAACAAGTAAAGAAATTGCTAACTTCTGATTCAGTACTTATGCAGTACAACGAGACTCTGCCGCTCACTATCACGTGTGATGCATCACCTTTTGGGGTTGGGGCAATTTTGGCCCATGTGTTACCAAACGGAGCGGAGGCCCCCATCGCGTTTTTTTCGCGAACCTTAGCTAAAGCTGAACGAAATTATAGTCAGCTGGACAAAGAAGCTTTAGCTATTGTGGCTGCAGTTAAAAGATTTCATGAATATGTGTATGGCCGTGCGTTTACAATAATCACTGATCATAAACCGTTACTGGGGATCATTGCGGGTAATAAACCAACCCCGTATATATTGTCCCCCAGAATGACCCGTTGGTCTGAATTCTTGGCGGCCTACAACTACACCTTGCAACACCGCCCGGGGAAATCGATTCTCCACGGGGAAATCGATTCTCCACGCTGATGCATTGAGCAGAACACCGCTCCCAGACTCTGTTGTGGATCCAGCCCCAACCATCTCAACGCTACAGATCGAAGCTCTACATGCACCACCCTAGACGGCTAGAGACATTGCCTTTGAAACGAAACATGACCCCGTTCTGCAACACATACTATGCTGGGTTGAACGGGGGTGGCCGACGGACCAAATAGCACCTGAATGGGCGCCTTTCAAAGCCCGCCA